TAAACACCTTTGACAGGTAGAGTAGTTAACAATTGACAGGTATTGTAATACACACTTGTGACAGTAATACACACCTGTGGCAGGTAGAGTAATACATACCTTTAACAGGTAGAGTAGTAAACACCTGTGACAGGTAGTGTAATACACACTTGTGATAAAATAATACACACATGTGACAGGTAGAGTAATACACACTTGTGACAAGTAGTGTAATACACACCTGTGACTGGTAAGGAAATACACACATGTGACAGGTATTGTAATACACACCTGTAGTAGAGGTTCCTGGTAGTAGAATTTTAGTAGATGTTCCTGGTAGTAAAATTTTAGTAGAGGTTCCTGGAAGAAGAATATTTTAGTTGAGGTTCCTGGTAGAAGAATATTTTAGTAGAGGTTCCTGGTAGTAGAATGTTAGTAGAGGTTCTTGGAAGAAGAATATTTTAGTTGAGGTTCCTAGTAGAATAATATTTTAGTAGAGGTTCCTGGTAGTAGAATTTTAGTAGAGGTTCATGGTAGTAGAATTTTAGTAGAGGTTCCTGGTAGTAGAATTTTAGTAGAGGTTCCTGGCAGTAGAATTTTAATATAGGTTCCTGGCAGTAGGATTTTAGTAGAGGTTCCTGGTAGTAGACCCACTTGTTAGTAGGGGTTCCTGGTAGTAGACCCACTTGTTAGTAAGGGTGCCTGATAGTAGACCCACTTGTTAGTAGGGGTTCCTGATAGTAGACCCACTTGTTAGTAGGGGTTCCTGATAGTAGACCCACTTGTTAGTAGGGGTGCCTGATAGTAGACCCACTTGTTAGTAGGGGTTCCTGATAGTAGACCCACTTGTTAGTAGGGGTTTCTGATAGTAGACCCACTTGTTAGTAGGAGTTCCTGATAGTAGACCCACTTGTTAGTAGGGGTTTCTGATAGTAGACCCACTTGTTAGTAGTGGTTTCTGATAGTAGACCCACTTGTTAGTAGAGGTTCCTGATAGTAGACCCACTTGTTAGTAGGAGTTCCTGATAGTAGACCCACTTGTTAGTAGTGGTTTCTGATAGTAGACCCACTTGTTAGTAGTGGTTTCTGATAGTAGACCCACTTGTTAGTAGGAGTTCCTGATAGTAGACCCACTTGCTAGTAGGGGTTTCTGATAGTAGACCCACTTGTTAGTAGGGGTTCCTGATAGTAGACCCACTTGTTAGTAGGGGTTCCTGATAGAGGTATAGTTATGGTATCTGTGAGTGATTTATGATTACCCAGTACTCTATTGATCAGTGAATCAATACATGGTTACAGCTTGTCATTTAGGGGTAGGACCCCGCAGACTTAGCCAATCAAAGTCTGGTTAACCTCAGGCTGAACCAATAAAAGTGTCTGTTAATTTCAATGAGAATTTGTGGCTTTTTAGGCATGTTTTTGTTCTCTGCTCCACAATTTTTGTTTTTATTTTTTTGTGTTTTTTAATCAATTGAAATGTTTAGTTGTTTGGTATAAAATGATCAGCTTAACACAAAATAATATGTGGTTAGATATTTAAACAGGGCAGGTAAGGTTGTGTTTGGACAGTGTGATTGATGGGTTATCTGTGTGTGTTGATGGGTACAGGAAGAGATACTTAACACTAATCCCAATGTGTTTGGTCCCTGACAGATCACATTCATTACTTACACTTAATGTCAGGTCATCACTGTTACATAATGAAAGGCAGTCTACAGCTAATGGCTATTTAATACCAAAATTGATAATTTTTGGAATTAAATGTTGAACTTACCTGGTTGTGTTATCTGTCAGTGATATTTTTTGTGGACTGACATTATGATTTACCAAACAGTTTTTGTAACGGTGACAAAGCGGTATCAAGGTGTAACTTTTTTTGTGTGTGTAGCAATATTTTGTAATCTGTCTCAAAGTTCAAAAAATCATTGACCAATCCAACAGTTTGAACTCAGCAATTTTTTATATGGATCCCATAAATTGGATAGAGAGGTTTTGAGATAAGTGTTTTGGATTGTAAATATCTAGGGTAGGGGTTAATTAACTTCTTTGGGGTAAGTTGCAGCTGCATGTAAATAAACATGTGAAAGAGAAATTGGACTTCTAACTCAAATTCCAACATATGCTCCTAGTTTCTGCCCCTGCAGTCACCATTATGGTGATTAGCTTATGTTTAGTGCCAGGGGTGATAGACTAAATAAAAGTTGATAAAGTTGATGTCATTATACTGATGTCTATTTATAAGTCGAAGATAACCAATCAGAAAGGAGACAACATTTATCAAAATTACAAAAAGATAATTTATTTATATGGATAATTTCAACCCACCGAATTGCACTTAATTTAAGTAACTGCACCCAGACAAAACACTGTTAAGTAAAACCCAATGGTTATTTTACTGTCTGATAAGAACACCTTGTGTTAAGCACTAATGTATCCCATAATATACGCATAAATCACCTCTAGCTGGCAAACACTATATTGACACTGATATTTGATGTGTTTTTATATAGTAAACCATAGAAATGTTGAGAAAAACGTGAGCCATCACATGCATATAATGTAATTTTCATGTAAATAATAAAAAGTAATATGTCAACATGTTTGGTCAATAAATATGAATTGATATAGTTGGTGAATGAATGACACCCTGTTTTGTCAATTTGAGGTGTGCTAGGTGTGACACCATGGTAGAGATGGATTAGTCCGTGGTTGGCGGCCATGTTTGAGATCTCTACTGATACAATTGTGTCACAGAATTGCCATTAAAAATCTGTGGTGTGCTAGGTGTGACACCATGGTAGAGAGATGGACTAGTCCATGATTGGCGGCCATGTTTGAGATATCTACTGATACAATTGTGTCACAGAATTGCCATTAAAAATCTGTGCCAACAGCTTCTTGTTGTCCAACACAAAACATTGAAGCTTAATTTAACAATTGATTGTGAACAATATGAATATGCTATGTGTAAAGCATATCTTGTCTCTAAACAAACTTGGTGTTTAATCATGTCGCCTCTCAGCAGTCCATCTCAGAATAGGTTAGGGGTGTAGGGGGCCGCAGAATTTTTATCATAAGTGTTAGATTTCAGTGTCATGGGGAGATTTTCCAGTTTGATAAGTCAGGTACTTTACAGTGATAAAGAACAGTGTTAACCAAGCGTAAAGTGTAAAAAGCCTATCTGATGAAGACACGCGCCAACGACACATCAGCTGTCCAATCACCATATAACACCACAATATCGGCTGCCTTCCTTGTTTGACACATTTATGAGCTGAACTAGAAATAATAAAAAATAAATAGTTTTGTTCTTGTGTGTTTGATCTGGATAGAAAAGAACACAAGATCTTTATCTGAACAAAATCATTGAGACCGTTTGCTGAGTTGATTTTGAACACTAGGGAATATATATGTCCGTTTTACTGTCTGTGGTCAGGTAATACTATATAATGCTGTCACACACCTCAGCTAATGGTGTGTCAGCTGACCAGCTTTACAGATTTAGCAAGTTTGACCAGGTTTTTAATGGTGTGTGAAAACAAATCAATATTGGGGATGTAGTAATTGATAAAACCTATATGTTAAGGTTAACTGTTGGTTCTGGAGTACTTGTACGACAGTTATCATTCAGACACATCTTAACCGGACGATCACACCCCTTTGTTCTCGTTCTATTTATGTCTTATTCTGTCACACATGTCCTTTACCAAGATTGTTTTAAGTGCAATAGAATAAATGCATATTATTTTTGTACTTGATGACAAGTGAGGTGTTTTGGTTAATGTACAGAGTGACCTTTCAACCTTTGTCTTATATGTAGATGGGTACGACTGTTTATTCAACCCTGGGTTAGAGTCATGGATAGGATAGGTAGATCAACCCTTGTCACATTGAAGTGAATAAGTTCATAAACAGTAATGTGGTTCATTCAAGCCTGGTCGTTATGTAGTAATTAGAAACCTCATCACTGTGTGCGAATAGGTTAAAGTCAAGTTGGATTCCCTTAGGCTGCTACGCGCCACAATAGTGGTTTCGAAAAGTCGGGCCGTCAGTGCTATGCACCACAATAGTGGCGCGCGGTCTGTAGGTTTTTGATCAGTAAACAGGAAGTGTGAAAGCTGACTGTTGCTATACCAAACCCGAAAGCGAATAGTAGAAGGCTTCTGATTGGTTGTTTTGTCATTACTTTCGATATTCCCGGCAATGTACCATAGTAATAATCAAAGTGTGCGAGAGAATTTCAAATCGGAAAAAAACGTCATAAAAATGGTGGACATGTAGATTGAAGTGATGAATATGATGGTTAACATTTATTCTCCAGCGTCACCTATGATGATAATAAATGTTTTAAAGGGTTTGACATGGTTGATGTGGAAATACTTCGGTGTTACATAATATGTAACTTTCCAATGAACGGCTTTGTGCCCTACACAAACATGAAACATTTTTCAACCAATCTCTTTGAAACTTGGTATACATCATAATCATGATATGAAATTGTGTTTCCCTTAAAAGATTTGATTCAACAATTTTTTCAAAAGTTATTGCCCTTTGTTCATTTCGGTATATGATTTTTGTCCGGCAATCTCCTCCTACATTTTTCGACCGATCTCTTTGAAACTTGGTATACATCATAATCATGATATGAAGTTGTGTCTCCCTTAAAAGAATTTCGATTCGACAATTTTTCCAAAAGTTATTGCCCTTTGTTCATTTCAGTATTTGATTTTTTGTCCGTAGATTTTCTCCTACATTTTTTATAGCATATGTCAGCTAACCACTCTTAGAATGATGCAGATCTTATTTCAATGTAAGAAAGCATATAACACTATATGACATTCGACGGGCATATATTGTTCCGCCCTGCGGTACTCTTGTTGTTTGATGGAGTCACACTTCATTTAATAGGTCATGGTACGGTACAATTGTTAAACCCTTGTACACTATCTGTTTGGTAGATTCATTCTATTCACAAACCTGTACTTTGCATCTTATTTATTTACTGATATTTTATATTTTAGAAAATACCAGTCATATTTGATGATGAAAACGATGATGAAGATGAAGATGATGATGATGAAGATTTCTTTCCTTCATTCCATAAAAAGAAACTCTGGGATGAGGTATGTATCTGTCAATTTTGTAGTGAAAATAAGGTGTTTTAGAAAGCATTTTGTTTTTACCATGCAAAATATGTGTTTCTTGTTAAAGAGCCCCATATTTACCGTCCATAATTATGTAACTTTGTTTTTGGTTGTTTGTTACAGAGCCCCAGATTTACCCGTCGTAACAGTGTAGATGACCTGGATGATGACCTTGACAAAGAACCAGAGGTCAGATACTATCCTCCTAGTGAGGTGGACTCTGTGGAGAGCAATGGCAGGTCAGTCATACAAAATGCCATAGTGTTAGACCCTGATTACTGAGGTAGAGTTAGACCCTGGTTTCTGAGGTAGAGTTAAACCCTGATTACTGAGGTAGAGTTAGACCCTGATTACTGAACTAGAGCTAGACCCTGGTTACTGAACTAGTGTTAGACCCTGATTACTGAACTAGAGTTAGACCTTGATTACTGAAGTAGAGCTAGACCCTGACTATTGAAGTAGAGCTAGACCCTGACTATTGAAGTAGAGCTAGACCCTGAAGACTGAACTAGAGCTAGACACTGATTACTCAGGTAGAGCTAGACCCTGGGGGCTGAACTAGAGCTAGACCGTGGTTACTGAACTAGAGTTAGACCTTGATTACTGAAGTAGAGTTAGACCCTGATTTCTGAACTAGAGTTAGACCTTGATTACTGAAGTAGAGTTAGACCCTGGAAACTGAGGGAGAGTTAGACCCTGGTTTCTGAGGTAGAGTTAGACCCTGGTTACTGAACTAGAGCTAGACCCTGATTACTGAGGTAGAGCTAGACCCTGGTTACTGAACTAGAGTTAGACCCTGATTACTGAACTAGAGTTAGACCCTGATTAATGAACTAGAGTTAGACCCTGATTACTGAACTAGAGCTAGACCCTGATTACTGAACTAGAGCTAGACCCTGATTACTGAACTAGAGTTAGACCCTGATTACTGAACTAAAGCTAGACCCTGATTACTGAAGTAGAGATAGACCCTGATTATTGAAGTAGAGCTAGACCCTGATTACTGAGGTAGAGCTAGACCCTGATTACTGAACTAGAGTTAGACCCTGATTACTGAACTAGAGTTAGACCCTGATCACTGAACTAGAGATAAACCCTGATTACTGAGGTAGAGCTAGACCCTGATTACTGAACTAAAGCTAGACCCTGATTACTGAAGTAGAGCTAGACCCTGATTACTGAACTAGAGATAGACCCTGATTACTGAACTAGAGCTAGACCCTGATTACTGAAGTAGAGCTAGACCCTGATTACTGAACTAGAGATAGACCCTGATTACTGAACTAGAGCTAGACCCTGATTACTGAACTAGAGCTAGACCCTGATTACTGAACTAGAGCTAGACCCTGATTACTGAACTAGAGCTAGACCCTGATTACTGAACTAGAGCTAGACCCTGATTACTGAACTAGAGCTAGACCCTGATTACTGAACTAGAGCTAGACCCTGATTACTGAACTAGAGCTAGACCCTGATTACTGAACTAGAGCTAGACCCTGATTACTGAACTAGAGCTAGACCCTGATTACTGAACTAGAGCTAGACCCTGATTACTGAAACTGGTTTAGACCCATTTACTGATCCTGAACTAGGCCCTGTAAATTTTCTGATTTGTTTTTCACTATTTATTTCAGCTTCTTCACAGTATTTGGAGGAGAAAAGGGGAAGAACTCATCTCAATTTTCTGGTTTAGAGAAAGGACTTGATGCAGGTATGTATCATGTACAGCTGTCGGCTATAGCAAGTTGTCAAAAACTTTGATAAACTGGTACTTTATTTATTTGTGTGGATTAAAAAATTAAATTGGGGAGTAAGGAGAACCTGAGGCGGTGAGTTGAGCAAGCACACACCCATATCAAAGTTTGAAAAGAAATATATTCTTTAAAATGTAGAGGTTTCAAAATGACTATGCATTGTATGTCAACATGGAGGTTTTGTTTTATTTCAGACTCGGAGAGTACAGACCCCATCTCTATGGAGGATACCGAGGAGGACGACGACGCCATCAGTATACCATCCAACCCAACCACTCCTTCTGAGGACTATAATCTGAGGACCCCAGACAGGGTACGTTAGTAATGTTACATAGGCATAATGGAGAGAATCCACTTCTACACACTTACATGTTGTCATGTTACCTGGTATCTCAATTACATAGCCTCACAAAGATATGCTTGTACTAAGTGTTAGGCAGGCTTTATGCTAACCTCTGACACGTGTCCTGTACTAAGTGTTAGGCAGGCTTTATGCTAACCTCTGACACGTGTCCTGTACTAAGTGTTAGGCAGTCTTTATGCTAACCTCTGACACGTGTCCTGTACTAAGTGTTAGGCAGTCTTTATGCTAACCTCTGACACGTGTCCATGATAATGAGTTTGTACACTCTTGTCCCGTACAATATTGGGCTGATTTCATACAGTTACTGACTTATAATGGAGTTGATCTAATAATATATATTAGTCATTTACAGCTACAAAATGCTGAATTAAATATCTTCTTCCTAGAAATGATATATTATTTGATAACCTACCGATGATATAATGACATCCTCATGTTAGGCTTATATTCAGATTTTGAAGAGACATGTGTGACTACCAGGTATAGAAATGATCTATTTTCCATGCCATTTGATAATTTTGAAACTAATTTTATAATCATTTCAATAAAGATTTTCATTGTCTGAGAATCATTTGAAAATCAGGAATAATGAATATATATATATAATTATCCTTTCAATTAAATTCTAAAAGGAAGCTGGGTAATTTCCTGGGTGGTTTTTTTTGCTGTTATATTTATTGACTTACCAATATGTTATATTAACCTCAATGATTTAGGATTCAGTTAAGAGACAGTATATGTGAGGTAGCTATATAACAATCACTGATGCAGCTATGATAACGAGTTGTACACTCCCTTCCACAGTTGTCAACCATCATCGAGGTAGGCCTATAAAATGCTAGACGTGAGCTATTGTTGACCAGATGTTGGAGTGATTAACATGTATAGTACAGCTCATGTGTTTAAATCTTTTAAAAATTTCCAAACAGTGAGAAAATTCCATATTTCAAAAGAGCTTCTTATTCAATGCACCCACATTTTTACTAAACCAACTGCATTGTATTGTCATGTAAAGATATTCTTCAAAGTTAATAAAATTTTGGTAAGACAGCCCCAGTCTTGAGATTCCAGACCAGTGTCTATTTGAATAACCATTTGCTGGCTGATGGGATGGCTTCTCAAGATTTGTGTTGCAAGATTTAAACACATTACCTGTCCCTGAGGGTTGTATTATGTAACCAGACAGGCTTTACCTGACAGTTGTTACCTGAGGGTTGTTTACCTTTGGGTTGTTACCTGAGGAATGTTGTCTGAGGGTTGTTACCTTATGGTTTTTTCCTGAGGGTTGTTACCTGAGGTTTGTTGACTTTTGGGTTGTTACCTGAGGGTTATTTACCTGAGGGTTGTTACCTGAAGAATGTTGCCTGAGGGTTGTTACCTATCAGGTTACATCTGAGGGTTGTGATTTGAGAGTTATGATCGGTATGGGATGTTATGACTATATTCTGTTTATGGATGGGTTATCCTTCCTTAGTACATCTAGGATGTGTAGCTGGTATTCACTACTGGAGCTGACTTTTCTATTCAATCTTTCACTCTCATTTCCTTGTCTGTATTTTTGGAAAGAAAATTCTGGGGAAGACTCTTGGTAATAATAAAACTTTCCTTAAATATTAATTATTGGTAATGGAGACAATAACTAGTTATTTAGAAGGAAATCCTTGCTTTATACCATAAAAAGTCCATGATTGCTTTTGTTTAGACGAATCACATACGTTACTGAACCCTGGATTTCCTGGACATTCTGGGGTCTGTGCATCACTTTCTGCAATTGTTTACAACTAAGCAGATCCTTGTAATCGACAATTCACCTTTCTTTTTTGTCAAAAATGTCAATCGATCGTCCTGGACTTTGGGAAATTTCCTGTTGTTATTTAGCAAAGGTTCATAATCACCTGTTGTAAGGTAATTTCAATGTAATGATCAAGTCTCATCAGGTGAAGCAGCATTAATGTCAAACTGAACAGAGCTTAACTGTTTAGTCATATTTCATTACCCCTGTGTCATTCTGCATGTAATTCTTGTGGTTTTTACTTATGCTCACAGCCAAAAAAGAAATCTTGTGTTTCCGCTTTCACATGTACACACACAAAGATTTTAGTGCCTACTTTAATCTTTGCTTTCACTGATTTGAAATAAATATTGTTAAAATCAGAGAGACTGTCTGTGTGTAACCTTCCTTAATAAGAACTGAAATTTACATTATAGAAAAAATAGAGAAAGACAAAATATCCAAATTTTGACAGCCGAAAGCGGAAGCACAGCAATTTATTTTGTTGGTCCTTATTGAAAAATATTACATCTGTAGATTTATTATTAAATGGCCTCACTTTTTTTTTGGCCTGGATTCATATGAGGTTAGTCCTCTTTAGAATTTGTTTGGTTTTGTTATTTTGATTTGGCAGTTGGGCTGTGGTGTGGCTCTGTGTGATAACAGTTTTTAAAGCTGAATGAGTATGCTCAGATATGAGACATGAATAAGTGTTGATATTTTAACAGTTTGTAAATTCACCATAAGAGCTATCTAGATCCACTATCCACTTTGGTAGGTATAATTGTGAAGTTATGATCAGAACTAGAACTTCAGAATGTATTTGCTACAACAGTTAGAATATTGTTATTCTGATGTGAAAGTCATAAAACTCACAACACCTAACATTTCAAAGTTTGTAAATTTCTCTTCAATTGACAAGAAGTTTTAACAAATGAAGTCATTTTCTATTTTGAAAGATTTATCTTATTATAATGTTTCATTGTGTGAATTATGTGTTATAGGAAAAGTTCCTGAAGGACCGTTTTGAGAATTTGAACTTTACCCCGACCGTGTCAATAGACAAATTCCAGGAGAGGCTTGATGAACTTGAATCAAACATCGTAGATGACTCGCAGCCCCAGGTGCCAGGCAACTCTCGCATCAGTATCTCCACCCGCTTCCTGTCGCGAGCACAGCAGGCAAACATCAAGTATGCTCACCCTCTCTGTATAAATTGAGAGTTATTTTAGAAAACACGTCTTGCCTTCTGTTACCGCTAGTGCTTATCTTGTGTTCATTAGTCCTAGAAAGATTATCAACCTATTATACGATATATATACAGAGTAATCTACGTTTGTGTTAAATTAATAGATCTACAGAGTTATCTTCCCTTATGTTTTAGTGATAAACATCAGAAGTACACAGCTGTACTTACAATCTGTGGTAATTATCAACACTAATATGTGTAGCCATGATGTATATGTACATGTATCTCTTCCATATTGTTGTAATATAATAAACTTATAGAAAAATAAAAACATCAATTTTATTATCTAGGAACATGGTTGTGTACAACAGCATACAGAGACAGGACAACTGGTTTGATGTAAGTAAACCCCACACTCTTGTGTGTGAAGTACTGGCTGACATTGTGTATTAAATACCCTATACCAGTGTACTGCCTGGTAGTGGGTATGTACTAAATACCCTATACCAGTGTACTGCCTGGTAGTGGGTATGTATTAAATTACCGTATACCAGTGTACTGCCTGGTAGTGGATATGTATTAAATACCCTATACCAGTGTACTGCCTGGTAGTGGGTATGTATTAAATACCCTATACCAGTGTTCTACGCCTGGTAGTGGGTATGAATTAAATACCCTATACCAGTGTACTGCCTGGTAGTGGGTATGTATTAAATACCCTATACCAGTGTACTGCCTGGAAAGTGGTACAGCTTTCAGTGCACTGTTCTCCACCTCCATAATAATCCCTGGAGGAAGGAGTGACTGGAGGGGTATTTCTTACACACAGGTTCCCTAATAACTGGAGTTCTGTAACATGTTCATTTGCCACTTTAACTAATATGTTTGATCTTGTTCACTTCACAAATTTCTTTTTTGCATGAACAAAATGGCGTTTTTAATTCACTCTTTGATTTAATAGTAAGGCCTAAATGACATTAGAATGAAGTTTGTAAATATCCATATCCATCAATGCTTTATATGGTACAAAATGAAATGCTTTACCAATGATTACCTTCGAGACTGTTGTGCAATTAAATGTGCATCCATCATTTATTGTATGAATTTTGCTCCACATAAATGATTGTGTTTAGATTTTGTTCTACAGTACACACAACCAAGTTGTCATTTAAGCTATACACAACAGGACAACACATTGACCAGGACACAAGTGTGTTGGACGTTTGTGCTCTGACTTCCTGTACCTTGATTTCAGTTGGTTATGAAGGGTCTGCTGAGTCTTAGACTGTACCATTCTCTGAGGAGGGTTAAGGTATATACGCTGTCCTTCCCCCCCTGGCTGAGATGTTGAGCGGGCTGTTCATGTTGTCTGTAGGACCCCCTCCCTGCTGGCTGAGGTGTTGAGCGGGCTGTACATGTTGTCTGTAGGACCCCATTCCCGCTGGCTGAGGTGTTTAGCGGGCTGTTCATGTTGTCTGTAGGCTCCCCTCTCCGCTGGCTGAGGTGTTAAGCGGGCTGCACACATTTGTAGGACCCCCTCACCGCTAGTTGTCAGTTTTCCCCTAATATGGATAGAAACTAACCAAAATGTCACTGTTGTAGCTTATATAAAACATTTACTACAGGCAGTAGGACATGATTGATAGACTGTGATAGACTAACTGCATCTTCATAGAGTGAAATTACTTCAGCTTGTACAACCAGTTGATTTAGTGGCATTATGTTTTAAATTCATATTTTTCTTGCTTCAATTTGTCCCCGTTTTGTTTCTTATTTCTATTTGCATATTTGTGCCAGTGAGTCCACTGACTATTGATGAAATGTTAAGTTTTCAATGGCTGTTTGTATAGGTCCGCCTGATCATATATTTGTTTGTCTCTGAACTCTGTTGTTGGGATGTTTTAGATGGCTGGAATACCAACACGAACTATCTCTCTCCCAGTCTACACATGTTGTTTAGAATGTTTGTGAGATATGGTAGAACTTTAAGCTGACATTTATAGCTTGCTGTCATTTGACAAAGATTGTTCTTTATGTCTTAATTTAACAAGACTTTCCAGAACACTGTTGTTTGCATTCCGTATTTCCCCCGTTTTGTTTTATGATTTGTTTGTTGATATATTTATTTATTATTTGACTTTTCATTTTTTTTCCTTTTGGTTGGAATGGTTTTCAATTTTCATTTCTGCTCATATTTTCAACTCTTTCTCATTCTTTCATAAATTTGTGTTGATATGGTGGCATTTTGTCTGCTAAAAGATAATAAAGTGATATTGTCATAATCTTAACTAAACATCAAAACCTGTACTTAATGACCTTATCAAGTATATCTGTGTAAGGAATCCACATCACAGCCGTCATATAGTATAACATTATAACGTATATTGTCTGAGCACTGTCAGTTTATTGGGTCTATGGCAGCCCTCCTCAACAGGTGACAAGACAGACCTGGAGTTGGATATATCTCTATACAGCCTTAACATGGATATATCTCTATACAGCCTTAACATAATGATTGAGATAGGATGTGTCTATATTTGAACAGTCTGTACAGAAAAGGAAGGATGAGATGGCCAGAGCTGTTGATGAAACCAGAAAGCGTTTGCTTGCTGTAAGTTACCAAAGTCCAAAACCATTACCCATCACAACATATCCATCCCAGCTAAAATATTCTCTCGTACAATTCAAACTGATACTACTGTAGATAAACTGCCCTCAGTTATTATATAGATACATTACCATTTAGGGGACAAGATCATTAAGTTACCTTCCTTAGTCTATTGTACACATTACAAGGGGAAACCAGGTGTCAGTAAGTTACCTCCCCTTAGGTTTACTAGATACACTTGGGGGCCTGTTCATTTATGGGGAACAACCGGTACGCCCGTTTTTAAATGTAACATTTTTGGGTATAAATCCTGGCGGACCTGCAAAAGTTTATGCAGGCCTTGCAAGGCTTTGTCAAGGCTCGCACGAAAGCAGCATCATGTTACTAGGTCCGACCTTATTTCATAAACGAACAACTCTGGTACAACTGGTTCAACTGTTTGAATCGCGATAAACGAAAACGGCCTAGGATTGGGATAATTTGTGTCAGTAGTGACCTCCCTTTAGGTATGATACCTCAAAATTGGAAAAAACTTGTCTGTAATTTAACTCCTATTTGGTATGCTACTGTTAGCCTCAGACCACTTTTAAATTTAGGTAAATGTTCAGCCGAAGGAAATAAAAATGAAAACAATATTTTCAAATTTTGCTAGAAGAATTTACAGATTTTGTTTGACTATTCAAGACAGCTTTGTGATCAGCAGGAAAATGCCTCATGACCTGCATTTTGCGAGAGATAATTTAATGATATCAACATCATAGCTTTGAACTGTGGCCCTGAAATTCATGGATAGAAGGCCCAACAATATGCCATTTTCTTTTACCAAAAAAAAATTCCAGCCCATGGCACCAGTCACTATAATGAACATGGAAATGGTCATAATGTTTGGTATAACATAACATATCTCTATATTCATAGAAAAGAAATGAAAAAATAAATAAATATAATGAGCCGAAAACTCAAAAATTCATAAATTTACAGAATTATCTGTGGTATGAGGCCTACGGGATGGGATACCTTGTGTATTTCATTTTAGAGGCTATTCCTGACAAAGATTCTATTTTAACCAAAAATGTTTTACACGCTTTTACCCTACTGGATAGTGCATCCTATATTTATTGACCTTATAGGGTGCTATAAAATATTTTTTGTTTATGACAAATAAAGCTCAGGGGCCTAGTCCTTAGAATGAAGAGCACACAAAAATCTCGGCTTAATGCCTTGGACATTACCTAAGCTTGTAGGAAAGGCTGGTTTGAGATATGTATAAAATCTGTTTACTAGTATAAATATTTGTAATACGGGAGTGTAAGTATTAATAATGTTTGATAACTGGTAACATGTATAGTAACCTGTATTTTTATTAACTATCACTGCTGTTTACAATAATACCACATTGTTTTGTACTAATCTGTTTAAATTGCATTAGCTGTTAATCTGCCAGTGAACTTGTAACTGTACTTGATGACATAGTTGGAGCCATTTTGTATATTTGTATTTTTTGCTTGTCAGCTCATTTGCCAAAAGGGCTGGGTGAGCTTAAGCCATGGTGCAGCATCTGTTGTTTGTCTATCTGTAAAATATTTCTTTTAAAAACCTACTCCTCCTAAGCAGCTAATCAAACTTTGCCCAAATAAAGTCTTGAGCATTGTTGGGCCAAGGGTTATCAGTTTTGCATAAATAAAGGTGTGCCCCATTTCCTTCCAATAACAAAAGAAACAGGTTAGTGATGCAGGTACTGCGGGTCTTCTATTGAAATAAAACTGAAGGTCGATCATACTTCATTAATCAAATTTCTTGATTCCTAGAGTGTAATGTCATATTTATATGTGTCGGGGGACTGTGACAGACAACTGGTAATGTATGTAAAATGTGTGATAACACCATCACATACTTATTACAATGTGCAACAAGTTATTGTCATAAAGTCACCCAAAATGTGTTATTTTACATAAACATGTAAATAATCAGCTAACCAATACCTCCAAAGCTATGAGATTCACTGAAGATTGTTGTAATGAAATTTATGTGAAGTAGAACTTATTTGATATCTAAAGTTGTCTATTTCTATGATGTTGTAGATGGGATGGAATGACAAGACTAGTCCCGAGACAGAGCAACCAGGAAAGGACAACCTGCCATCCCCCCCAGTCAAGTTACCCACAGAGCCTGTGAGTTCTCACGCACTCATTCTGTATACGGGTACATCTGTAGGCCACAGAGCCTGTGAGTTCTCATGCACTCATTCTGTATACGGGTACATCTGTAGGCCACAGGGCCCGTGAGTTCTCACGCACTCATTCTGTATATGGGTACATCTGTAGGCCACAGGGCCTGTGAGTTCTCACGCACTCATTCTGTATACGGGTACATCTGTAGGCCACAGGGCCCGTGAGTTCTCACGCACTCATTCTGTATATGGGTACATCTGTAGGCCAGTACTTCTTTGTGTTGGTTGATTTGTTACAAATTACATTTACTGGTGATCATTTTCATAAAATATTGGCAAAAATAAGGCCATAATATGATTGTTATCTGTACTTTTGTTGCTAATCATATTACATCAGTGCATCAGTTTTTCATGCTATCATGATGTGATCTTCAGACATGAAGTATATAAGGTGACATTTTTATCGTGTCTTGACTTTAATTATTTGTCTACAACAGGAAGCTGCTGATATGTTTGAGGACCTCTTACAACAAACCACACCGACCAACAAGAGCTCGTCCCCGTTAAACACCCCATCCTCCAATAGTGGTAAGTATAGCCACTCAGTCGTCAGGCCTCTATCCTACAAACAAAGCAATAGTTAGTCTACCTAGAGGAAGTCAATTAGTCTACCTAGAGGAAGTCAATTACTCTACCTAGAGGAAGTCAATTACTCTACCCACAGGAAGTCACTAGTCTGTTACCCACACCCAGTACTCGGTGACAGAACTCAGAAACAGGAATGCATCTACTGTTTCTTGAAACACCTGTGATCCATCTAAATACCTATGACCTCTACAAACACCTGTGATCCATCTAAATACCTATGACCTCTACAAACACCTGTGATGACACCCTTCCACACCCCCATCTGGCATCCCTTCCAGACTTGAAACAACTTAACTATCACCTTTCTTAAAACATCAATGACCCATTTTGAACCTTTGTAAAATAAAAAAGACAATTTTCCTACAGGAAGTATGTCAAAGATTTTTACCATTATCTTAAAATCTATCTTCAAAAGTATGGTAGGTTATCCTAAAAAATATTATCAATGGTTGGTTATTGCCAAAAATATAATATCAGTGGTAGATTATCGTCAAAAATATTATCAATGGTAGGTTATCGTCAAAAATATAATATCAGTGGTAGATTATCGTCAAAAATATTATCAATGGTAGGTTATCGTCAAAAATATAATATCAGTGGTAGATTATCGTCAAAAATATTATCAATGGTAGATTATCTAGAAAAGGAAACTCTAATGTTAGATTGTAAGGTTGGATAGTGGATACTTATGTATCGTATATATATCTAGATTTAAGGGTGTAGTTAATCTTACTCATACATAGTCCTTATGTATCGTATATATCTAGATTTAAGGGTGTAGTTAATCTTACTCATACATAGTCCTTATGTATCGTATATATCTAGATTTAAGGGTGTAGTTAATCTTACTCATACAGTACATAATACTTATGTATCGTATATATCTAGATTTAAGGGTGTCATTAATCTTACTCATACATAGTACTTATGTATCGTATAGATCTAGATTTAAGGGTGTCATTAATCTTACTCATACATAGTACTTATGTATCGTATATATCTAGATTTAAGGGTGTAGTTAATCTTACTCATACTATGTATTAGATAAACAATGTGCATTGGTCTTTGGATGAGAAACCACAGTACACTAGTTTACCTAGAACTGTAATCACCTTCATTGCACCGTAGTGAACTGTCTAGATGATGCTATTTGTTCTGTCACAAGTCCTGATTACGTATTTAAGAACAGCAAGACCTATCATCTGGCACACAGTCACTCCTCACGGTACCACAATTATGAGCACCCTATCACTACACATTAGCTGTAGACTTTTGCATGCTTCTCCTTTCCTTCCTGATCTGTAGACCTATCCTGTGGGGAATAAAACCAAAAATCACTACCGCTATGGTAGAACATGTGCCAATGCCCTCCCAGCAGTCTCATCTGTGTCTATGCTGCTGCCATACATTTTATGTGAACAGAAATGTTGGAAAGGAACTTTTTAAGTTTGTTCGTCGTCAGTAATAATGATAAATGTTTATGTAATGAATGGGCAGTACAGTTCGTGATGTAGATGTATAAACTTTGTTTCCTCATCCTAACTCAGGTGTTGTTTCATATTACAGGGGTAAGTTTGGTTATATGCTATTATTAATGTATGTTTTACATATACTTTTTTTAATCTTCTAGCACTAGCTATAAATAACTATTGCAAGAGTACTGATATATAAAAAATGAATAATGAATCGATGGCTCACTCTTTATGCAAGGGAGGCAACTTCATCCGTATAGGCCTGCTTACAGTAAACTTTTACTGCTTAATTCCTAGGCCCTCATTCATCAAAATCGTTGCGTCGCTGTTGGTCAAGCTTTGACCTTCCAAAGACACCTATATTAGAGGAGAAGCCATCTTGTTTGCATAGTGCCTCCAATCCAAACACACCAGTCATCAAGACTCAGGGTAAAAAAGCGTCCGTGTGTCGTATAGGCACACCTGCTTCTACTACTAAAACTAGGCCTTCGTGGCGCAGCCGGATCCCCACTCCTACTGCACTCTCTGCGCGCCAGTCTCAGGCTCGAGCTGGCTCAAACAGGGGTAAAGTTGCCATGGCAATGCATGAAGCACATAATAAATGGGAATGTCAGTGTTCTTTACACCCGTCCAAATTACTTTGGGATTTAACTGCCAACACATTGTATTTAAAATTTGTATCCATGCCGCTTTGTGTTGGTATGTGTTTTCATAAGCTTTGTCAACTAATTTACTAATTTGAATGAAAATATATAGACAGAGTAATATAAAAAGTTGTACAATTTTAACTCGTAATACATGTTTTTTCTGGGGAATCTTCAGATCCTCCAGTCTTAACACTATTTTTGTAGCACAGACTCTATGACATTGTTAACTGTCATTGTCATTGAATTCCAAAATGTCTACCTGATTTAAATCCGAAAGGGGAATGCTGGACGTTATCAACTTTTTTACTTCTGATAAATTGTTTCTTTTACCAAAAAACAACCAAAACTTGTGCAATGCTGACGCTGGAACCTTACCCTTCAGTTTGATTATCTGCATCTGTAATCTAGAGCTTTTATATCAGTCATGTGGCTAAAGGTACCTCCTACGTCCATTGTGAATCTCCCTTGTTGGTTTTTGTAGTACATTCCGCTGTGTTTTGCCAGGTTTGGAGAGGAGGTACCTTACATGTGTTACTTTCTTTAACATTCAGATCATAACCTCTGGATTCATGTAGCATAACAAATGAAATCATCACAGCATTTACTATGTGTGGTCACCACCTATATTTGGACATTTGTAAGCATCTTCACTGACTTTAACAATGACCGTATGGTCTTAACTTGTCAAATACAAAAACTTTCACCGTACCATCCTAACATGTTGGACACAACTAGCCAGAGGTACTGATACATTTTCTGTGTGCAATTTTCAGTTGTCCTTTGTTTGCTTTTAGATTCAAACAGTAATTTAGATTTTTTTCTTGAGATAACTTGCATTGCGATTCCATTTTAACCTTTTGCTCACAATACTTACCAGAACATAATTTTGTCCCTGACCCAAAAGTAAGATGTTTTCTATAATATTCAAGTATGTTATTATTTTACCTTTTTGCTTCCTATGGTCTTCATTTCATTTTCATCTTTTTTTCATGCTTTAGAGCCATTTGTTTCCATGACATTGCCTCAAATACCAGTCACTGTGGCCTTTTGAGAAGATTTAGTTTTTGCATGGTTTAAATATTTACAGGATGCAGAAGCATGGATTCATTGAGAATGAATTTGTTTAGAAGTTTTTTTATAGTGTTTGTGTGTTGTGAGGCTGACTCGATCCCAGATCAGCTGAATGTACACTGGTGTTGTGATTTATCCCCTAGATTATTGATAAAGATGGATTTTTGTTTTCTTTGGATGTTTTTAGCCATGAATCCCAGATTCTTGTTAAAGCTAGATTTTTATTTTGTTTGGATGTTTTTGACTTCGTGTAGACCTGTGGATCTTGCTGGACCCATGCCATTTCAAGCTTTGGTGATGACAACTTCCTGTATAACCTTTTATTAATTTTGTCTTTATTTTTAGCATTATAGCTACCTTGACATATAATCATGTTTGAAGTTACCTTGATAACACTGTGATACCAACACCCTATATCTTGTTTTTCTTACTGAGCACTTCTATAAATAGAGTAGTACATGTAAACATATCACAGCGTTATCAACAGGCCCCTGCTGCACAACATCTCATAATAATTATGTACTCTAATTGTAGTCACCTATTTGAGATCAATCACCGTCAGGTGTATTTGTATGTACCTTAGTGAAGAAATAACTTAGAAAGTTTCATGCAAAATTGTTCTATAATGAATAAGTGAAAATCAGAGAAAGGAAAATGCTGTGTTGTTCACACAGATTTTCATTGTTCTGCATTATACAGATTTTCATTGTTCTGCATTACGCAGATTTTCATTGTTCTGCATTACACAGATTTTCATTGTTCTGCATTAGGAGTCCATCAGATTTGATGAGAGCAATAGTTGCTGGTTAATTGATGTGGTGCAGTAGGATGGTCGTGTAACAGCCTATATATCTGGGTAGCCTGGTATACTAAGTCACTGTCAGCCTGATGGCCACTGTCCTAATACATGTATACTCATATCTAGTCACATATTACTATGGGTTTTATTACAGGTAGTTCACTATATGTATAATAAAATATTCTACATGATACATTAATTTAGTAAATAGGGTAGAAGTTTGAGATATATTTGATTTGCTAATGCAGTTATGTATATTAGAACATTTAGGTTACCGTAGTTCCTGGATCTTAACTAGATGTACGATGTAATTATTGCATGTCACTTCAGTCTGATGTGTGTTGTATGTACATTACCTAATTAAAGCCTGATAGACATGTACACCACATCATTGATTATAAGCAGTGTTAGTACAATGTTGATAATGAATATCCTGGTGATGTGGTCTCCGTGGTAACCTGTTGTCTGGTTGTTACAGCTACCATTTGGGACAGCCGATCATCAACAAGTGAGGACAGTAATGATCAAAAGACACCTACCAATAAAACACACTCGTCTCCTCGGAGGTCACGTCCATCTACTCTAACTCTAGAACGGGAAAAGAAGCGGCGGGAGATCAGTGTGGAAGTGCCCACCAAGGGAGGAGATAAGAAAGGGACTCCTCGGTCACAGTCTCACAGCTCTCTGTATAGGCAGACAGAAAGCTCCAAGGCCAAGAAGTCAATGGGATCCTCCAACAACCTGGCTCAGCAGGACAGACCGACACCCAAACATTCCACCAACCTCACCAAGAGCACATCCATGACTAACCTGAACAGTGGTGAGCGTCTCACCTTGCCTAGGTCAAAACCTCGCATGGAGGCCAAGAAACTCTCCTCACTGTACACCTCAACGCCAAACCTGGCACAGTCAGTTGACAAGAACCACGACTGTGATGATGTTCCATCAAAATTACAAATACGCACAGATATATGTTTATCAGACAGTGATCTTCTGGATGAGGATCTACCAAAAACATCCTCAAAGAAAGGTTCTCATACCAGGGCCTCTACTACTTCTAAGCCTCAGACAGACGCCAAACGCAGTTCTATTGGTGCTGGAGTCCCTAAGAAGGAGAGTGTTCGAAGCAGTAGTGCTACAAGGGCTGGCAGGTTGTCTTTGCCAGCTTCACCGGCAGTAAGTGTAGACAGTAAAACTCTGAAAAAGTCCTCTGTGCTCCGGGATGACAAAGACCTGATGCCCCCTCCCTCCAAGGGTGTGATCACCAAGGGCAAACAGGACACATTTGTTAGAAGGGCAGCTCAATCCAATTCCCGTAAGGGTATGTCAGAGCTTACCCTGGCTCAGGCAAAAGACATTTTGTTGGGGAAGTCTGGAATCTTAGGGTCGAACTCAAGATCCTCCTCCTCTAACAGTGCTTCCACAATAACAACCACTTCATCATCTACAAAATTGTCTCATGCAAAGTCAACGACAAAGTCACCTATACGCTCAACAGCATCATCTTCAAAATCATCATCACACTCAACAGTATCAACTGGAAAAAAATCATTACATTCGTCAACATTCCCTACGTACACAGTAGCAAGCACTAGCTCTGTGTGTGCTACAAGTAGTGCCATGACAACTGTTTCATCATCATCATCATCATCATCATCAGTGACCAGTAGTGCAACCTCTAGTTCCTCATCTCCAAGGTCACTACAGAAGGAAGCTGCCCACCTACAGATAACATCAGAGATAGAGACAACTGCAGCTGAGATACGCAGCAAAAACATGATGGAAGCTGCCTTCCAGAATTTGTCAGTGCTGGATGCTAGTCCTAATGACTTACCCGAGAGGGACTGTTCACCGCAACAGCCCTCTGGGTCATCCGCTCATACAAAGTCTCCAACTATGTCTGGTACCAATGTGACACCAACTCCAAAGTGGAGAGACCTATGTTCTGAGAATGTGAATGGTGATGATGTAACAAACAGTACCAGGGATGTGTCTGGCTATGTGAGTCATTCGTCTGGGGTTGAGGAGGAAGAAGAAAGCCTGGCACACGCCTCCAGTATCAAGGAGAGGATAGCCATGCTTCATTCTCACTCCTCTCCCCAGTCTAGTCCCCGGTCCACCTCAACGGCCCATATCACTCTCACCCCGAATAAATCCCCGGGCCCAAGCGTGGCTAAATCTGGGTCCCCTGTCAGCTCCACACTCAGTCCACGTAGTTCCTCCGGAATAGGTTCAAGCCTTGACTCGGATGTTGCCTCCAAACTGTTTGCTTCTCCTGGCAGTAGTCTTAGCCCTCACAGTAACTACCATATAGCTTATGATATATCTGACTCGGACGAGGGCTCAGAAAAGTCACCACCTCAGGATACCACTGTACAATCCTCTTCATTCAGTTCAGAGCTTGACTTTGGTGGTAAAAGGTAAGTTTTTGAAACAAATACTAGTGAAACATTTCTTGTGCTCTGACAGGATAAATAAGGGAACTGCATCTTTACGTATCAAACTAATTATCATCATGGCTTTGTACTAGATTCTTACATTTCAAATTAGATTTCCTTTTGAAAGAGAGTTCTTTAGCCGTAATTCCTGAAAACATATTTTGGAATTAAAGCAGAACTGAGGTATTTTTCGAATCAGATTTCCTTTCTAGTGATAGTTCCTTTTTGCCGTATTCTTGTGATTTTTTCAAGCTTCAGTGACAGAGAATTCATTTGATGATGTTGCATTAATTTACATTAAAGGTTATCACTGAGCAAAGCACTAGAGGCAGTGTCTGGTGGCCACAGTAACAGTCGGGACTCCCCAACCTCGATCACTTCTTTGACCTCCAGCAACCTTCCTGACTCCTCTACTCCCACCAACTTGAACTCCAACCTCCAGTCAGACTGGCCCACGTCCAGCACAAGGTCAACACCATCATCTATCATTTCCAACAGGTCAACTCTGAATGGCTCACCTAATGTCGCCAATGGATTCACACCCATCAGTCCTCGCAAACAAGGTAGGTAACTCCTGGCAACAATTAACAGTCCCTGTAAGTAAGATAGATAACCCCGGGCACCATTCAACAGTCCTTGTAAATAAGTGGATAACCCTGGGCACCATTAAACAGTCCCTGTAAGTAAGTTAGATAACCCCAGGCACCATTCAACAGTCCCTGTAAGTAAGTTAGATAACCCCGGACACCATTCAACAGTCCCTGTAAGTAAGTTAGATAACCCCGGGCACCATTCAACAGTCCCCGTAAGTAAGATAGATAACCCTGGGTACCATTCAGCCGTCCCTGTAAGTAAGATAGATAACCCCATGCACCATTCAACAGTCCCCATAAGTAAGTTAGATAACCCTGGGTACCATTCAACAGTCCCTGTAAGTAAGTTAGATAACCCCGGGCACCATTTAAAAGGGCATCACGATGAAGTTTTTTTTTTCAACTTTTTATTGTTGTCTTTTTTTCAAATTCTACATAAACATATCAAGTGAGACTCCTTATGGAAAATAACGATCGAATTTGGCTGAAATAGATTCATAAAAATGATTAAATCTAAGATAGTCATCGGTTTTTCTACCTGTCTGACCAACGTTTTGTTCAGGGATTTCCCTCTACTAGCGCATAGCACACCATTTCTTTGTAAACAAAATGACTGGCTGTGTGAAGTAAGCGAAAGAAAAGTGTTGTACCGTGTCAGCTACGAAGCGAAAATTTGCCAAATGGTCAAAAGATAGCGCAAGGAGTACGTTACGGAATCATTATTGCAGGTGGGAAGTATTCAAAGGAGAAAATAACTGCCCTAGCAGTTAGTACGGTGCATGTATTCTTACGGATAGCCGGTTAAGCTGAAATGGAATCGACATAAATGCTATCGCTGTTTATGTTATGAATAAATATCCAAAACTATTAACCTCGCTAGTATCTTTGTCTGAGTTTGAATACAGATGAACATAGTTTAATATGTTAATGGGCATGTATCGGAGAGAGTTTACTTTGGTTTATGCGAAAGGAAGGGATAAGTGACTCGTTAGTTTGATTTTGCCATGAGGCCCTCCAAGGGATCAACTGTTGTGATGGCCACAGCGCTTGCGCGAGCGAGGTCAAATGAGATACGTGCGCTTTTAGATTTTCATAATTTATAATATTACCGGGTTCAGTAAAATGGTATGATTTAATTATATTGCTGAATTAAACGATTTGTTTTTGTTTTTACATGCAAGATTTAAATTAGTACTAATATGCAGCTAGATAAAACATGTCAAAAGGACGGACCAGGATGAATAACTGAGGAAGGAGAACCTACTTCTAGTAAATAGGATCGCATAACATTTTTCAACAGTTCATGTTTTCATATGATGTTGACTTAGAATGTATGATCATGTAACAACCTTTTCTCTATAAAGAATTAATTTTCGACTTCAGATAGAATCGGAATACGTATTGAAAACAGGGGGAAGGCATTTGTTTACATTGTAAAAATGATGCGTGCTGCTGATAACTACGGCTTCTGTTCCAGACAAAAAAGAAATGATTAAAGAAAAGTTGTCTCAACATAAAAAAGGGTCCATTGACAAGAATGCTTTAATCTATGTAAAGTATTGAAAAAATATAATGATCAAGTATCTCAACACATTCCATTTCTGACACATATTCCACATGTACACGTAGTGGTATTGCCATACAGTTTATTGTGTGTGATGGCTAATATGACTTACTAAGTGTTAGCGTATGGAGACAGTTAAAGTGGGAAAGAGAGTATAAATAAATGTATATGCATGGTCTAGAAAAAAAATTGGCCAAAGACATTGAGTTGTACAATGTAATAAAAAAAATCACAAACGTTTCTCTTTTTTAATACGCGTGTAGTTTGTCATTGCATATATGCACTTTATGAAAACATTTGAAAAGGGATATTCGTCTTGTGAATATTCCTTTTTACAGAAAGGTTTGTCCCATGGTTGAGGGAAGGTGTTTAGCCCCGTACGAACTGTACCGGTCACATTCCGGTAATAAATTGAATATATATTTATATATATAGACTTTATGTTTATGCCTAATATCATTGTTGACATTTAATTGTAAATGTATGACGGGAGAAGGCTGTCATAAATTTTAAAAAACTTGTACCCCATCCCTTGTTCAATTTTATTTGCAACAAATATGTTTAAAGCTAAATAAATTTAAATTCTGAATATTGGCAAGTGTGCAATTAACTTCTGATGATGGATAAATACTGTTCAATAAGTTTGAATACGGACTTAGAAATCATATTACTTGGTTTCATAGTGCGATAAGAAGTTGCAGTTGCCTGACGGCCCCTCTCTGGGGGCCCCTTTGGAAACCGTTTCATCTCGCTCAGACCACTTGTTTTTACTGCCTAGTCAGGTGACGTTATCAACACTATTTTTAGCAGGGCTTTCCCGAACAATTCAAGTGGTCAAACTGGACATTTGGAACGGACTACATTCATTAAAAAAAATATGGCTTTTCACGTGATGTCCCTTTAACAGTCCCTGTAAGTAAGTTAGATAACTCTCGGTGCCATTTATCAGTCCCTGTAAGTAAGTTAGATAACCCCGGGTACCATTTATCAGTCCCTGTAAGTAAGTTAGATAACTCCGGTTGCCACTTATCAGTCCCTGTAAGTAAGTTAGATAACCCTGGGTGCCATTTATGAGTCCCTGTAAGTAATTTAGATAACCCCGGGTGCCATTTATCAGTCCCTGTAAGTAAGTTAGATAACTCCAGGTGCCATTTATCAGTCCCTGTAAGTAAGTTAGATAACTCTGGGTGCCATTTATCAGTCCCTGTAAGTAAGTTAGATAACTTTGGGTGCCATTTATCAGGCCCTGTAAGTAAGTTAGATATCTCCGGGTGCCATTTATCAGTCCATGTAAGTAAGTTAGATACCCCCGGGTACCATTTATCAGTCCCTGTTAGTAAGTTAGATAACTACGTGTGCCATTTATCAGTCCCTGAAAGTAAGTTAGATAACTACGTGTGCCATTTATCAGTCCCTGAAAGTAAGTTAGATAACTTTGGGTGCCATTTATCAGTCCCTGTAAGTAAGTTAGATAACTCCGGGTGCCATTTATCAGCTCCCACCAACTATGTAGATAACTACACTTGACAACAGCTATCAGATACTACTTGATCAGACGTAGCCCTGGTGAACTGCCAGGGGAGATAACACTACATGAACAATATCTTGATTCAAAAGCAATTATGTCATCTGTGTTATTTTTTATGAACCAGAAAAATGTAAATCTGAGGTGAATTGTTTTATAAATCTCTACTGCAAAGAGGATGACATCTTATAAAAGAAATGCTGTCTTGCTGTTTGATACAATTTTGTTGAAAGATTGAGGTTACACTGATAGTGTTACTTGATAACACTGATAGTGTTACTTGATAACACAACCAAAGCCTTTAAACCTTAACATCAAATTTCCTTCATTTCTACTTTCAGATTACCTTCAGTTATGTTTGGATGCGGTAAAAGAACTTCGTCTGTCAGTAAATAAGGTGTCAGATCTGTATGATCAGGTAGGTAGCCAAGAAGGAGGGGTCAAAATTCACTCTATCAATTTACTCAGAAATCAGATTATCAACTTGTTGGTTTTGATGTAATACAAACAATGATAAAGTAGTTAATTGATTCATAATGTTATGTGTCTCCAACTGACATCATGATTATAGCTAAATCAATTACAGGGAATGTCAGTGAAAACAAGCTTGTCGATAACGTTCTTCTAGTTGTTGACCATAGCTGTATTTCTCTTGACAGGTTCATTTGAATAGTGACAACCAATCTAATGAAGCTGAATCAGTACTTGTAGAGGCGGTCAGGGAAAACAAACAGACATTCATCGATATATTATCCCAAACTTGTGACAAGGAAGATTTTTCCAGGAGTAATACGGAGCCAGTGACTATTCCCAGAGAGGTGTTAGAGCCAATGCTTTCCAGCTTTGGCAATCAACTTTTAGAACGGTTTGAGCGGTTAGTCACACAAAAACTACAGGCAGAGAAGCAGTGAATGGTGGCCAAGGGGGATAACTGGTGTTTTATTAACCTGTGAACGTTGACACTAAGACATGTTTTATTGACGTACAATGGCTCAGTGAACCTTATATTCACAAACTTGCTCACAGAGTAAATGGCTTGTGTTTTGTGATACAGAGATTAACTCATAAAAAGACTGAAATCAAGAACTGAGAGGAAATATCTTTTCTCCTTCCCACTTGCCAAAATTCTTCGTTGATAAATCACCTGGACCCTGTTAGCCAAAATTCTTCGTTGATAAATCACCTGGACCCTGTTATTCATAGAATTAGTAGCCTATTGAGTTGTTAGCACACATTTTTCATCTAGTCAGTCTTTAAAAATATTAAAGTTCATAGCTAGAAATGCATTTATAGGAATTCAAAATCATCTAAAACCAAGAAACACCAATAAATTATCATAAGATTTTAAATGACATTGATTGGAAAATTTAAGGTAACTACTTGATAAATGTTGGGCCCTGGTTGTTTGATGTTTGATTGGGTTGTATGTTATTGAGGTTGTGATTGTGTTAACAAATGTATAGATGTGACATTGATAGGTAGAGAGTATGGAAAAGGATGATCTGTGTTATGTTAGTGTCTAAAAGTGTGAGTCCGATGGTTCTGTGTTGAAGATAGTGTCTTGAAGTGTGTGAGTCATTATTTGTTCACAGCTTAATCATGAATGGTAATCTCCAGTGCTCAAGACTATTTCATTATAAAATAGTTCTTGGTTTATGGGGAATGAGAACCTTGTGGCAGTGTTTCATGGTAGTTATTTTTATTTCACCATATATCATATTAATGTACTGTCTAATGCCTGTATGTGTTTTTTAGGCATTTACTCTTCAGGCGACTTCTTACGAGGTCAGCATTATGTATACAACTTTTACAAAGGACAGTTGCATGTATAAGGATGACCTCTACAAAGGTCTAAAAGTTTGTGAGACAGGACAAGTAATGGGGTGTGAATGTGTACTGTATAAATGGTGATTGTTGTGTGGTCTGCCTAGTGACCAGGTTTGTATAAATGGTGATTGTTGTGTGGTCTGCCTAGTGACCAGGTTTGTATAAATGGTGATTGTTGTGTGGTCTGCCTAGTGACCAGGTTTGTATAAATGGTGATTGTTGTGTGGTCTGCCTAGTGACCAGGTTTGTATAAATGGTGATTGTTGTGTGGTCTGCCTAGTGACCAGGTTTGTATAAATGGTGATTGTTGTGTGGTCTGCCTAGTGACCAGGTTTTTATAAATGGTGATTGTTGTGTGGTCTGCCTAGTGACCAGGTTTTGACCTCTGTGAGAAATGATAAGTAGTTTGTAAACCTAGTCATTTGTGTTGTTGTCAAAGCAATCGTGATGGATGGTTTGTTTAATACTTGATGACATTTTGTTGGTTATATAAATGTCAGACTATACTGTATACTTTCATGTACAGATATTCAATTGTACACAGATTATACTTGAGACGGTTCCATTCCACTGACTTTTGTGGTGTAACTTTCTTACTGTGCTATGATTTCTGTCAGTTCTTTTTCTTATTTTAACTGTGAAATTGCCTTGTAAGTAGACACTCGTCACATAAACTCTTGTGTTGGCTATAGTCTTGATGTATAATATATATTGATGCTGTGACACGAAAGTCACCCTAAGTTACACTCAATACAGATGTATATTTTAGTTCAATTTCGCTTTGTGATATTTTCCATTTCTGATGTTTGACAATGATGTATCTTTTTATCTTGTGGAATGTGACCGTCTCTACCTAGGGAAAAATCTGACCATCGTCTACTGAGAGGGAATCTGACGACCGTCTCTACCGCGGGGAAATATGGTCTCTTTTACATACAACCTAAATAGTAAACATATCAGTGTGATACCTCCTAATGTCTTCCACGTATAGCTGACATGTCCTTTAGGAATGACATCCGTATCAAATTTTTATGTGATAAACATTTCTCCTTCCATGTTTGCTTTATGTGATATATATGTCTAAGAGGCCTAAAAATATAAGTGTACAACGAAAGGGCCGACTTATACAATGCTAGTTGTTTTCATTACATAGGTAGTCATACTATTAAACTGAAAAGAACAAAAATGGCTTATGTTGTTGTTATCGTAGATAACGAAAAACCTGAGAAAATTGTTGTCTATTATAAGACTGTTTATTGTCTGGTACTGTAGTACAGAGCGGCTCTTTTTGTGCATTGTACATATACCATCACACAGAATCAAACACCCTAATTGAGCAGTCTTTACTATAACAGAACTGAACTGTACTATGATGATTATGATGTTAAGTAAATATTAATACAGACATAACTCGGAGATAGTTCTCAAAGGATAGATAAGTGGTGTGATCTGCTTTGAAAAAAGTGGAAAGATTTAAAATATGTATTTGTTACCATGTGTATGTACTGTTACTTGTGTTATCACAAGAGCTGTTCTGTGTTTTTAGATGCCAAAGTTGTAAATACCGTATCGGTTGTAATTAATATCTTTGACTCGTTATTTATTGTGCAATATATCACACTGTAAATGATTGAAGTAGAATATTTTGTGATATTTTTTAAACTGTGTGTTGCTTTTCCCCACAATTTTGCAAAATGTGCAGTTAAGAAATAAAACATGTTCACATGATAGTGAAATATGTCAATTTCAGCACTTGCCAATTTGTTTTACGATACTGCCATTTTGTTGAATTATTGCATTTTGCCTTTTTTCAGCCTAAATAAGGGAGTTATTTTTTTTATTTTGAATCTGAAAATAGTTTATTACTTGAAATGGATGTTGAAAGCAGAAACTCTAACTAGATCAAGCATTATCAACTTATTTTGTGATGATATTTATTATAAAATAACTTGTGAATATTGCCCTGTTACTGGTTCAGGCCTTGCCGATAAGGCTTGAAAGATATTATTGTTCAAACAAAAGGTTGAGAAATTGGTTACTAATAAGACTTCATTTTGCTAATGAACTGAAAACAGTCTCAATTTGTGTACATTTATGAAATCTTACTGTCAAGAAGGGTGGTGCCGTCATGTTTTTCATTTCTTGTTCTTCCAGTACATAGTGATAGACGATAGAGTCATTCATTGGTGCAAGACTTCTCATTGTTTACCTGCTAAAGTGCTATCGTATCGCCACTATTTTATCTGGTCACAAGTGTTTTATCATGATATATCAACTGTTTTATAACAAATTTTAACAATTGGGACCACAGCCGTTCAGGGTAATCTTGCTGTATTCTGTATATGTACCAAAGCTCCCTCTGACCTGGCTAGAGCTGTAATTGAGGTAGGCTAGCTCTCAATACTCTCCTTCTCCTCCTTTTATCATCTCCCTGTTACTACATACAATGTACAATAACATTTTAGAGGGAAGGGGTTGTTGTAATTGTAAATTGTATGGAGTACAGGGGAATCATTTGTGAAAATACTGTAAGATTTCAGTAAAATATAAACAAAGTTTGTACACTGTATATATAACCTAGCTATGCAAGACATACCTAAGTGTCTCATTCCATCGAAGGTATGCACATTTAGCTAAATGCATTTCCAAGCTTGTATTTTTTGTAAATATATTATGACTTTATAAACCAACAACGTACAAAATAAACTTTTGTATAAGAATAGAGTTATGTTTTTGTGTTGTCTCTTCATTAATGAGATAAATTAGGAATCATTTTGAATCCTTGTGCTTTTAGAGATTAGCCTTGTTTGAAATTGCAAGGTCACTGAAACTATGCCAGAGACCTCTTTTGTTATTTCCAAGGAAAGGTAAATGATTTTCACAATGATTTATTTCAGACTTGTATTGATGAGAACATTTCTGACTGACTTGTATGAATTAGACATCAGCTGACTGATAATTGGGTGGCAGACATTAGCTAACCTTCTGATGGGGTTATAACCCTTTTTTGTGAGCATTATTCAAATAAACTTTTGTTAACATTGGTCTGTTGGAAGTTGAATGATGCTTTCAGGCAGATATCAGCTGACTCAACAAGATATCAGGCAGACATAAGCCGACTCATTAAGATTCCAGGCAGACATAAGCTGACTCAACAAGATATTGGACCGTCTTAAGCTGACTCATTAAGATATCAGCTGACTCAACAAGATTCCGGGAATACATAAGCTGACTCAACAAGATATCGGACAGTCTCAAGCTGACTCATTAAGATATCAGCTGGCTCAACAAGATTCCAGGAATACATAAGCTGACTCCACAAGATATCAGGCAGACATAAGTTGACTCAACAAGATATCAGCTGACTCAACAAGATTTCAGGAATACATAAGCTGACTCAACAAGATATCGGACAGTCTCAAGCTGACTCATTAAGATATCAGCTGACTCAACAAGATATCAGGCAGACATAAGTTGACTCAACAAAATATCAGGCTGAGATAAGTTGACTCAACAAGATATCAGGAAGATCTAAGTTGACACAACAAGTTTTCGGGCAGATATAGGCCGACTCAACAAGATATCAGACATACATAAGCTAACTCAACAAGATATCAGCCGACTCAAGATATTAGGCAGATATAAGCTGACTCAACAAGATATCAGCTGACTCAATAAAATATCAGGCAAATATAAGTTGACTCAACAAGCTATCAGGCAGATATCAGCTGACTCAACAAAATATCAGACAGACTTAAGCTGACTCAGCAAGATATCGGCTAACTCAACAAGATTCCAGGCAGACATAAGTTGACTCAACAAAATATCAGGCTGAGATAAGTTGACTCAAGATATTAGGCAGACATAAGCTGACTCAACAAGATATCAGGCAGACATAAGCTGACTCAACAAGATATCAGGCAGACATAAGCTGACTCAACAAGATATCAGGCAGACATAAGCTGACTCAACAAGATATCAGGCAGACATAAGCTGACTCAACAAGATATCAGGCAGACATAAGCTGACTCAACAAGATATCAGGCAGACATAAGCTGACTCAACAAGATATCAGGCAGACATAAGCTGACTCAACAAGATATCAGGCAGACATAAGCTGACTCAACAAGATATCAGGCAGACATAAGCTGACTCAACAAGATATCAGGCAGACATAAGCTGACTCAACAAGATATCAGGCAGACATAAGCTGACTCAACAAGATATCAGGCAGACATAAGCTGACTCAACAAGATATCAGGCAGACATAAGCTGACTCAACAAGATATCAGGCAGACATAAGCTGACTCAACAAGATATCAGGCAGACATAAGCTGACTCAACAAGATATCAGGCAGACATAAGCTGACTCAACAAGATATCAGGCAGACATAAGCTGACTCAACAAGATATCAGGCAGACATAAGCTGACTCAACAAGATATCAGGCAGACATAAGCTGACTCAACAAGATATCAGGCAGACATAAGCTGACTCAACAAGATATCAGGCAGACATAAGCTGACTCAACAAGATATCAGGCAGACATAAGTTGACTCAACAAGATATCAGCTGACTCAACAAGATATCAGGCAGATATAAGCTGGCTCAACAAGATATCGGGCAGATATCAGCTGACTCAACAATATATCAGGCAGATATAAGTTGACTCAAAAAGATATTGGGCAGACATAAGATGACTGATTAGCTCGGGTAGATATCAGCTGACAACAAGAAATGTATTTATTTATTTTTAAATCTGAATAGGAAATGTATGTATAGGCTTCAAAACTCTTGGTCTGTTATCTGATTTGACCGTTGATATATCATAAAACAATTTGTACAGATTTGACAGTTTTTTAGTAATATTTGAAAATTCAGATCTTGTATCTGAAAAGTTTCTTGATTCTTGCCAAAGACTACCCTTGGAAATTCTTATTTCTACTAGTTGATGTGCCGATTACGTCGTTTTTTACTGGTTTTCCGACATATTTAATTTGAAGTGATCTTGTACCCTTAAAATGTTCCTGAAAACAAAACTACTTGGTGGAAATGCTGATAAATATCTCTTGTTATACAGTCAGAGGAAAATGTTAAATTGAATTTTTCAGTACTATTTGAACCATTTTCTGACCGTGTACCAATTGTGGTAGCATGACGTTAGGCCTCTCGGTAATTCAGAAGAAACGGCCATCATAAAACAAACTCGCTGATTTTATTTCTATATTCCAGCCAAAAGCAGAAAGTATTATGTTAAGATGCTGCACCATCCGACTCTGTGGTCATACATTTTGTGACTGTCCCACAAACTGGTCCCTTGTTTCTTTTTAGATTTGGTGTATGCACTACCTAAACATTCCTTGAAATTCCATGTGAAAATGATTACATAAATTACAATGGAATCAACACAGCATCCTTTATTCTCCAGTGACATGTATTTCCCGGTCACCAATATCTTGTGTTTATATTGCTCTGCTATATAGCTCTTTTGTTTCTCGTGATCATTTTAATATTCCAATAAAATAGTCTATACATCAAGATCATCCTGGAATTAGGCAAGTTACAGTGTAATATTTGAATGGTTAACATTGAACATATACATAAATGTAAACAAGAGGCCCAGAGGGCCTGTATCGCTCACCTGGATATCTAGCAATCATGGCAAAATATTCTCCAACTGGGATCCAAGGGAACGTGCCAGACCCGAAGATTATCTGTGTTAAGATTGTTCATGCCCAGCAATTTTATGTATGGTTATGGGGTGGGGATCTCCACTGTTTCCAAGCTGTGACTCAGAAACTAGATCCCTAGGGTTGTGGCCAGACCCCAGGATCAATTCTAATACCATGACTGCATTTGTCTCTTTATGCCCAGCATTTGTATATATAGTTCTGGGATGGGATCTCAACCGTTTCAAAGTTATGACCCAGGGACCATGTCTCCAAGGGTGGAGCCAGACCCTAGAGCCATCCAGGAAGCAAATGTGCATTCTTCTCTTCATACTCAGCAATTGTATATATGGTTATACAGTGGAGATCTCAACCATTTCCAAATAATAAACTATACAGTGGAGATCTCAACCATTTTCAAATAATAAACTTTTTTTGACCCCACCCCTTAGCCCGAGGGGTCAGCCCCACCATTTGTACAATTTTGAACCCCCATCACCTAGGGATGCTTCCTGTCAAATATGGTTGATATCCATCTCATAGTTCCAGAGAAGAAGTCGCTTAATGCAATATAGCCAAAGAACCCTTTTTGGCCCTGCCCCTCAGCCCCCTGGGGGGTCAGACCCACCATTTGTACAATTTTGAATCCCTGCCTCCCATGATTGCTTCTGACCAAATATGATCAATATTCATGGCATAGTTCTACAGAAGAAGTCGTCCATAGCAATATAGTCAATTTGCCCCCTTTTTGCCCCACCGCTCAGCTCCCTGGGGGGTTAGACCAACGATTTGCACAATTTTGAATTTCTACTACCAAGGGATGCTTCCAGTCAAATATGGTGGATATCCATCTCTTAGTTCCAGAGAAGTTGCTTATAGCAATATAGCCAAATTGCCCCCTTTTGGCCCCCCCATTTGTACAATTTTGAATCCCCACCACCTAGGAATGCTTCCAGTCAAATATGGTTGATATCCATCTCTTAGTTCCAGGGAAGTTGCTAAAAGCAATATAGCCAAATTGCCCCCTTTTGGCCCCGCCCCTCAGCCCCCTGGCGGGGTCAGCTCCACCATTTGTACAATTTTTAATCCCCACCACCTAGGGATGCTTCCAGTCAAATTTAGTTAAATTCCAATTAGTGGTTAAGAAGAAGTCGTTTAAAGAAAGTGGGACGTACGGACGGGCGGTGCCGGTGAGCTAATAATACTGCACGAGGAAAAGGTGTACAGATTGATAACAAAGAGGCCAAATTGACTGGAATCGCTGACCCTGAATTAATCTTGCACCAGTAACTTTATATTTAGGTCAAGGTCAAAATTATCAAACTAGGCTACATTAAGATACAGGCAAAATATCACCAACCAGGGCCCTTTGGTTATTTAGAAGAATTGTTTCAAAGGTTTAAAAAAATATTTCACCCGTGACTTTGAAAGTTGCTCAACACATATGATCCCTGGAACACCTTGAACATGGGTCAATGTTCTTCATTTGAACAAACTTGGTAGCCTGCCAGCATTCTACTTGCCAGATATCTGATTATTGAGAAGAATTTGCTTAGAATATTTGATCCATGACCTTAAAGTGAGTCCAGGTCGTTCATCTCAGCACGACCCTTTTCATTATGGTTATTTAGATTTTTTTCGGTAAAAAATTAACCTTCTCAATACTTCCGCCGTTTGATGGGGATAAAGGTAATTAATTTCAACAAACTTTGTAGCCCATTATTCTTGTAGGCTACTGGCCAAATATCACCCTGGGCCTTTTGATTCTTGAGACGATGGTTTTTTTGGGGTTTTTTTAACCCTTCGAGACCTTGAGAACTGATCCAGGCCATTCATTTGAACGAACTCTGTGGCACTTTATCCACGCATACTACTGGCAAATAACAATTACCCTTGATCTTGGCTATTAAGATGTCCTTCAAAGATCTCTCATTTATTAAACATGAACCTTCTCACCTTGAAAGTGGGTCAAAACTTTTTCATTTGAACAAACTTGATAGGCCTTCATCCTACTGGCCAAATATCAGTCTAGAGCATTTGGTCATTGAGAAGATGTAAATTTGAAGATATTCTATAAATTAAAAAAGCTAAAATAAAATAGGCTGTGTTTAAAATACAACTGCTGGACGAGACATCCATCAAAATATAGCTGTGTTCAGACAATTACTAGAAGGTTTTAGAGCAGCTTGAAGGATAAGAATTTGTAACAGCAGAATTTTACAGTAGCTTGAATAATAAGAATTTATAAACAAACACCAATACCCATCCAACATGTTTATTAAAAAAGTAAATATTGTATACTTTCACATACAAGTATAGCTTTATGGTTGGATGTGTACAAAAATGTACAAGTATGGAAAATGGCAATACATGGTACTGAATTTACACTTCACAAAATGATATTTTCTCCTGAGTGTCCCTCAACTTTACATGCTGAAGTACCAGTAATACTTGAGACAAATTGTTCACGTATGTATTACCAGTAACTTGTTTTGTATGACGAGGATAGCATATGTAAAATAACAAATATTGTATAGAGATCTCTCGCTCACATTTTCACTCGTTTTCACTCGCATTTCAAAACCATACATATATTAATATCAAACCACCATTAACACCGCTTTAGAGAAAGCTAAAGCTGTCCCTAATTTCCTATACTAGTTTGTGTATGAAACCATCAACACGTCTGTAAGACAAAATAGCACAGCTATAGATTTTAGACTCAGTGTTGACTTTATTTCCACATCAAATTGGTGCCAGGGTCTGTGATATAAATCAATGATCACTCCAGTAACAAAGTTATACATTTGAAACTGGTACTTCCACTATTTGACATGAAACTTTAACATGTTACCTCTAGGTTAGACGGTAGATAAACCTTACAGATCTCAGTTAACAGCCAGGAGTACAAACTACCTGGTTCTGAAGGTCACTATGCAATTAACACTCCAGGAACACTGGTTTAAAGCAGATTCTTTTCAAATCCCTAACCAATGAAATGCATGAGCAATTCTTCCAGTCTGTCTCATTTCCTTTGTTTGTAAGACAAACAAGACTTATCCGACAAGAATGGCCATTATCTTGGTCAGAAATGGCCATCCTTAATTCTGACAATTGCAGTTCTCTTTTTTAAAATGTCATATATTAACATCAATTATCTCTTATCATACTTTGAGAACACTTGCTGAGTCTGTTTAGGTTTTCCAGAGGAGGAGTTGAGTGTTAGGTTTCCAACAAGGAGTCGAGTGTAATGGTAGGACTATAGTTATGCTGATGCTGCCTTGACAGGTGAGGTTTGCATAGCCTCCTCCTGGGTTTTACTGGTTGGCTTCGGCTTGATTTCTTTACTGAGTATCTGGTATTTGTATTCCGTCTCCTCCCAGACTGGATCCTCTGGTGAGGTTTCGTCTAATGTATACCTGGAAATATACACAGGTAAATTATACTAAAACAAATTAGGTTCTATTTCCTCTATTACTTTTTGAATGCCATATCTTTTTCCACAAGCAATAGTTTACCAAGAATATATCCCAGACAAAAATTTGTGAACAGTACATAACACTAAAGTATGCCCAACAACATATCTTGGGAGTCAAGTTTGATAGTATGGTGTACATAATCTACATTTGTGCAACATGTGCAAACTAGGGCCACATTCATTTATGGCGATCCCAACGGTTGAACCAGTTGATCCAGAGTGGTTCGTTTCTGAATAAGGTTAGATCTAGTAATCTGATTCTACTTTCAGGCGAGCCTTGACAAAGCCTTGCAAGGCCTGAATAAGCATTTGCAGGTCTGCCAGGATTTATACACGAAAATGTTACATTTAAATTCAGACAAACCGTTTGACCCAGATATGCGAAAGGGGCCAAAAGTTTGAAAAAGCACTAGTATAAAGGCACACCACGGCCTGGAGATGCTAGCAAAGAAATTGAGTTCTGATCTGCGAAAGCGGCCTAGATCTTTAAGCTACAGTCAAACAAAAGTTGGACAAAGCACTAGTATAAAGGAACACCACGGCCTGGAGATGCTAGCAAAGAAATTGAGTTCTGATCTGCGAAAGGGGCCTAGATCTTTAACCGTCAAACAAAAGTTGGACAAAGCACTAGTATAAAGGAACACCACGGCCTGGAGATGCTAGCAAATAAATTGAGTTCTGATCTGCAGTTTGAGCTAGCACGTAGTCTTTTAGGAAGAGTTGACGATGGACAGATGCTGCGCAATGGCATCAGCTCGCTTGACCCTTCAGGTTATGTACATGTATAAGACTATTTTCTTTTGTTTACAGCATACAGAACTTACTTCATAGCTTTCATGAAGAAAGTTTCTCCAATCTTGTTGCTCTTGAAAGTGGTTAGCATGACTTTAACCATCTCAGTTCTGGAAATTAAAGACAGCATGATTTTATTTTAATGTGGACGTCATTAAAATTTTATAACAATACCAAGAACCCAAAATACTTTTCATTCTTTGTCACATTTATGAAATAAGTTGTGAATTTGCAACCATAAGGAATTTGATCTTTTGCACACATTTTATCATCTGGAAGTAAACTGAAGGTTTTTCTTTATTACATGAAATTTATCCAAATGTGTTGTGTAAATTGTACAATTTTTTCCAGATCTCAGCAATCTGACATTTGTCTTTCTAGGTTTTCTTCAAGGTCATTCAGCCTCATTATGATGTCACAATTTACACAGAAGCTCTAAATTAATAACAATGTTTGTTTATTGGGCATTGATGTCATTTCTTACATGTCAAGAAAATATTAAATAAGGTACGCTATATAAGTTAGTCACACTAATTGATCAACCTACTTGAATCAGTCTGAAGTTATAAGGCTTATTCAATTGACCAAAACCTGGCATGTCCTTCAATGACCATAGCTGTTAATAGGACATAAAACACTAACAAACCAAGCCAAACTTACTCAATTGAAACCACCTAGATGCACGGTAATTTTATACCAAGTGTGGAACAATATTCAGACCAAGATAATATAGACTATGCTAACAATATCATGATTCAAATTGAATGAATGTAGTTGGGTTTTTTGTTCTATGTACTATGTATAGTTCATGATCATGTCTCAGCAAATTACAATAGGTCCAAGCATTCAAAAAGAGAGAAAATACAAAAAACAAATTTAACTCATTCATCCCTGAAATTTCATAATGAACTATTCCTACCTTTGAATTGGAAAAGTTCAAATGTGTCTTCAGGGGTGACTGAGTTAAGCAATAAAACGTTTCCTGATTTGAATGACAGACCTAGGCCTATTACCAGAATATGAGTCAAGTACTTATATTCATTTTGTACTTACTTATATGCCAATAATTCCAAAATCTGTATTAAAAACTTCCCAATACCCTTCCTTCTGTATTCGTCGATTACCTGGAGTTCATAACTGTAAGAAATCAGAGGGTATCTTTATACATTTTTTATGAATAGAACTGGTCATACATATGGTACCAAGCACATTTTAATCATCTTTTCTGATCATCAGATCACAACAGCTGCTAAATAATAATGCAGTATGTCCCTTAGACCTAGACAGCGGGTTAACATTTGTTAACAGTCGGCGTACAGCAAGTCATTTGATTTTTAACTACCGCAAGCTCCTTTGATGACTTGACAAGTTGCTTGAACAAATACCTCGTGTCATTGTAATTGTACGATGTCCTCAGTGGACATGTAACGCTAGCTTTGATTGGTCCACTACGTTTCAGCCAGGCGTTCTCTTCAGTGTGATTGACATCCAATTATAAGCCGCTCAGTGTAATTATAGTCGCACAGCAGGTGAGATGACAGGGCTTCTCACAACAGGCACGTGCCGATTACTGACACCCACAGGGGCTCGATTTCGGGATTTTTAACAGAAATTATTACAATTTACGTAATTTATTACTCAAAATTCCAAAAGCTATCCCCTGTGCTGACAACAAGTAACTAGTTAACAAAAGACTGACACGAGAAAAAAATAAAAAATCGTCATGTTATTCAGATTTAGAAAAAGTGTAGCGTGTTTACATACATTTAAATGTTCAACAGGGTCCAATAAATATTCCTTTCCATAAATCTATGATTAAATAAGAAGAATTTTGTATCAAAGACATAAATAATTAATTTTTCCTCTTTCGAAGTGAGCTTGAAGTGAAGCAGACAGAATTGGCCGTGATTTCCCTGTTAATACAAAAATGGATTACATGCAATGTTCTACAAACAGAATACAAACAAACTCTGTATCATTTCGTTCCGTTTGAAACCCCCTCTGATATTTTGCAACAGCTGAAGAAGCCATGTTGTAAAAGTAGGTCAGAGATGGACATGCATTTTGAGTGTTCTATTCCATAATATACTATATCTTTGTGTCTGTGGCATACATATGGGATAAATATTATATGAACCATGAGTAGACATCGTTGTCATACACTGTGAACAACTAAAGTGAGTTTTTTAAGACGATTTTGTTCCGCCCGCATTTCGGGCGGAATCTGCATCAAAGAATTAGTGCTTCGGAAATAAGAGGTTGCAGTCGGAAAAATCATATCCGATAGAAAAAAGGCCGACCAACTCTTATGTTATAGCAGTAGATGTCCTTAATGATGGCAGCTGCCGCACGCAGGTTAATTATACATCCGGGATTTGCATAATGTGGACCTCTCTAGGTCCCAGGAATTGTAATGTTCGTTCGCTTGTAACCGACCCCATGTACAGTTCATCCTTGTATGTTAGACCTGGGTCCAAACTTTCGACAAAGTCATCTGCCGATTTTGAGTTGTCCATGTTGATTCTGTGCACGTTACCTTCATAATCACACATCACACACTATGCAACTAGAAAGTGCTGCCCATTTTCAATGCATCCAATGAGAGCCGTCGATACATTATCAAAGTAATGAACAACATTGATGATCAATTACCCAACCCTGCAAAGTTACTGATGCAACTCAACAATCAAATCATCAAATAAAATCGTCCACACTTGGTTTTCGCTGACAGTAATAGGCTCCAGGACTTAAACATGATGGTTGCTGGAGTTACTAAAACATGCCTCCCTGCCATATTATCTCGAATAGCCCTCAGAATCTATGTTCATCTTCATAAACGTTTTTATATTGTCTAATGTTTTAAGTATTAACACAAGAACCTACATTTCCAGTAAATTATAAAAGAAAGAATCAAACATACCAGTAAACTAATTCTTCGTCCCACTCCATATCAAATCTGAAGTGTGTAAATGCCACAGGTTTAGATTCTGAATCCAAGGCAATGAGGTAGAGTGCTTTTTCTTCTGTCATCTCTTCTAGCTTTTCCCTGTCCTTCCAGCCCCAATCGCTCTCCTCATATCTATGGAAACATCAAACAAAAGAGCTATTGCTGTATCTATATATATGGAGATCAAGTTGTAGCCAAATTTGTTTTTATTAATTCAAACTGTTAAAATCGTGTTTCTGGATCTCAGTTATCCAAACCTGCTTTCTAACAGTAATACCTGTCATTTATCTGTTTTATGAAACTGGAGCAGCAGCACTTCACAAAGCCATTCTGGCTTGGCTTTTGATTGTGACATAATATAATGGTTATACACTGACCAAATACTTGGATCTAGTCCAATTTTTAAGCTGCTTTTTTCTTTCTAAACTTACAACTTCTGCATGTTCTTCTTTGTGAGGTCAAAAACCCAATCAGTCATTTCCTGAGTCAGATCCTGAGCTCGGAAAAACTCTACCTTCAGACTTATCCTGAGAGAAGAAAGTAAAACACATAGTCATCTTAACACAACATTGTTGTAGTGTATTACACACCAGTTGTTTCTATTCTAGACTAGTATAATAATTTAAGTAACATGTCCATATACATAAACTATATATTATTTCATAACCCAATTAAATATACACCTAGTCCGACAGTAAATCCTGTCCAATTTAACCGATAGATTATTAATGGCTTGTTTATGCTTTATGTCTTATCAACAGCTATGGTCTTTTAAGGATGTGCCAGGTGTTGGTGGTGAAGGAAAACCACAACCTGGCCACTGCTCCACATAGGGCTCAAACCTGTGACCTAGTGGTGAAGGGCTAGTGATCATAGATAGTCCGATACCTTAACCTCACGGCCCTGGATCATTCATTATATTATATTTTGAGATATTTATTCACTATATATAATATATATAGTGATTATAAATCTCATAATAGAAATGGTAAACAATAGGTACTGCATTACCTCCCCTGTCCATACACCACACCTTTAAAGATCATTTTGGGATTCATCATGTAATTTACCTAAAACCCTTCAGACAGAATGCTCGATTGTTTTTTATTGATGAAGTAAGGGGTTTCTACCAAATATGAATATGGTTAGACCATTTAATTTGGCAGGAATATCTCAAAATGGCCACTGCATATGCAGCATGCATTGTATTTTTATATCTGTGGTTTTACAGTATACTGCGCACAATAATTTTTCATTTCTAGCTGCTACAAAAAACTTCATCAGAAATTGTGCAGTACTTGGGCTAGCTTTTTCGAAAACAGGGTCCCAAGCAAATGTACGACAAAACTGATAAACACAATTGTTCCTCGTTTTCTCTCTCACTTTTTTTGATGCAAAATCGGGTCACTGTCATGAGTTTCTTCCCTTTGAATAGTTAGCACATGGTTTTTCCAATAGCTTAATCTGATCTTTCTGTTTCAATTATTAATTTCTTTAATTATTCTCTACATTTCCTTTAAACAATGTCAAAGTTACACATCTTTTTCAGCCGTATAAATACATGCCAGAAAAAAAATTGCTGTTTATATTTTTTCAAAGATTAAAATTATTACCCATTTCTTTCAAATTTTCTGAAAGGTGCCACCAAATCTAGCGGATCTTTAATCTGAAAATTAAATGGAAAGATATTTTAAATATAGGACCTGAAGCTACAAATAGTCCAAACAAAGAACTGAACATGAAAAAATATCATCAATGGTGATCAGTTGCTATATGGGATATATATATATATTTATATAAATGCATCAAAAACGGTATGAATCAAATTTTAATCTGCACATATTTTTGAAGTATTTTAAAATATTTTTGGGCAATTTTATGTATTATTTTTCTTAGCAATATATACAGATTCCATGAAAATGTATTTTACAGTAGATCGTCTATGCTTTTACAAATAACTTGAGAAAATATTGAAGGAAGTATCAAACATTCCTTGTAGGTTCCATATTAAGTAAACAAAGCTTCCATTTTGTGTTACTATGGACACGATGTTATTGCTCAATGCTCTTCTTTACAAAATACCTTATTTGCTGCTTCCACTTTAGCAAAGGACATTGCATATTTAGCACTTTCCTGAAAAATATAAAACAGCTGTTCTGAGCAGATATTCTACCACACACCCCTACCAGTGACAAAACTGATATACATTTTCAATTCATTTGCACTTTGTTTGCATCAGCGTATTTCTGTTTTGGATAAAAATTAAAAAAGCCCAGAATAATACTGAGTTCCACTGAGTGCAAGTGTCATTTCTGTAGTAAATTTTCCAAATTCAGTGAGAAAAATCTGACTTTGTTCCCGATTAGTGGCATTACTGATATCTTTTCTAGCCCAAATTGCCCAAAAGGTTGGTCGACTTTTCACCAGTGGTTAGTGAAAAATTCACGCAGATTGGTGCAAAGAGTTTTTAAAATGAAATAAATTTTCAAAATGTATCAATCTTACTTGTTTCAACAAATCAACCAGATAATTTTTCATTAGATTTTCTTGATTCTGTTGTCTTCATATTTTAAAAATGGACCTAACCACTGGTAGTTATCTCTAACTAAGCTTTGAACGACCTAGATGAATCATTAATATTTACATATATAGAATAGAACAAGGCTTATAGTATTTTACTAATTGCAAGGAAAGAATATACATTTGGGCAACATATTTCAAACCTTCTTGTACAGCTATGACTCTTTGACAATGAAAATATCAGCTGGTGCCCAGAAAAATGTATTTTTTTTAAGGAAAGTGATATATACAAGTGTATAAGGATTCAAACCTAAAAATATATATGTTAACGTCATAACATGAAGATAACTTTTGGCATAGAGTTTTCCGATGAAGCTCAATTGTCCAAGTTTCACAGATTAACATTTGGGATGAACACATAATTAAGATTCTTTTCCTTTAAAGTTACAGTAAATAGATAATGTTTCAGATCTTTAAAATTGATCAGAATTGACTGCTGTTTGTTGTTTCTAAGATAGTCTGAAATTGATAACCACCAAGTTCATTTCTGGACAAGCTCCATACCTTTGTAGTGTATTAAATTTAGTATTGACTGTTCTCTCTTATGCATGATATTTGGTACCTATATGGTTTACGAAGTTTGTGATCAAGGTTAAATCACAGGTTATCAGGTTTTTAAATTCTGACTGCAAGTTGATATATACAGTATCATAAAAAAATGAGGGTTTTACTAAACAGGTGTTTGATATTCTGACTGTATAATGAGATATATATCACAACAAAATAAGGGTATTATAAAAAGAGAACTGTTCTTTTTTCTAGTAACACCCATTTTTATATGATATATATATCTCAATTTACAGTCAGAATTTCAAACACCTGTGGTTCAATCGTTTTTTCTACAAGTTATCATTTGCCTTTCTACTGTTACGATTTTAACAGGCTATTTAGGTAGCCCATTACATGACTACAAGGTTTTTGTAGAGTGTATACCTCTTTCCTCTTCTGTTTCTTTGCTTTTCCTTTTGCTGATTTTCTCTGCAACAAAACAAAATCACTGACAAAATTTCAAAAACAAGAAACTAAAATTACATATTTATATAGTTCAAAGATACCGATGGTATTTGATGACATGTGTACATGGGGAGATAGTCTTACACTTATCTTCCATGTACAAAAAAACAAAATTTCCATTCAAGCTTGCCAGCAGCACCTGTGCATGTACATGTGATCATGGCAAAAAATCCCACAGCTCTCTGATCTGATCATAAGGCCTTGCATATATGTAACAATTGAAATGAAGGTTAAACGAAGAGCTTCATTTAGTTTCTAATTAACAAAGCATTAAACACACGGGAACATTCGATAGATTCATTACCCCCATTATTATTGTTGATATCTGTTTCCCGCGGTTTCCTCGTGTGCAGCTCTAGATCTACTTCCGGCGTTAGGAGATAACTCTGTTCCACAGCTGGGTGATTGTGGTAGCACACCATAAAAGATATTAATGTTAAAATGATTTTCATTGAATACACATTTTGAGCTAGCGTATACTTCTTCTTTCTTCTTTAGGTTGCAGGGGCTCCATCAATGTGTTGATGATTATGCCCTCGGGTGTCCTATAACAGAGGATGAAAAGGGGTTATTTACAGTGATTTTGTGTGTGTGTGTGTGCAGGGTATAGATACAAGATATAAGATTTTGTTTTGTTTTTTGTTTTGTGCAGGGTATAGATACAAGGTGCAAGATTTTTTATTTAGAGTTTTATATGTTGTAATGGAAACATTAGCTCTGTAGAGCTATTATTACGACAAACAAAGGTATAAAAACTGGGTATATAAGACAACATGCAGAAAACAACAGGCATATAGCAAGGTTTATACAATACACAGACAAGAAAAAATTAAATCACAGCATGCAGTAATTAAAAACAACTTGGCACGTACAGAGCAAAGTATATATAAAAATACATATTAAAATTGATGCTGCACAAAAGATTCATGCCACATGCTCACAAACTAAGAAACCATGGTTCAGTATATACATAAATGCCAATATGGCATGAGTTAAAACTTGACCAAATATATGCTAATATCGCATAAATTAAAAAAATGATTTGACAAGCATTGAGTAAGTCATACAATGCGTAAATAAGAGCACGTGTCAAAAAATGAAAGGAAATAAAAGCATAGAAGCATGGTATCACAAGACATGGTAAAAGCTAAATATAGAAATGATAAAAAAAAGGTTGGAACAAATAATAATAATAATAATAATAATATACAACATTTATATAGCGNAACAAATAATAATAATAATAATAATAATAATAATAATAACAATATACAACATTTATATAGCGCCCTATATAATTTGTAAAATTACTCTAAGGCGCTTTACAACATATGGATAATAGTAATGGTTATAATTGTGAAAACAAACAACAAAGGCTTGCAATCACTTTCATACATTTAACAAGCAATGTGCACATAATTGAACAAATAAAAGGGTGGTATTTACATGACGTCTTTGCAAAGATTCTAAAATGCAGACGTGAAGAGGTGAGTTTTTATGTCCCTCTTGAACTTGGCCAGGGTATTTGACTTCCTAATAGCAGATGGTAAGCTATTCCACAACGTAGCCGAAACCCTCACAAAACATCTGTTTCCATAGGTCACAGTACGAGATTTTGGGACACACAACAAAGATTCTGACTCCGACCGCAGTGATCTTGACGGCTGATACAGGATAACAAGCTCCTGTAGGTACTGATGAGCTGTTCCATTCAGTGCCTTGTATGTGTATACCGGAATTTTGTACTGCGACCTGTATCGTACAGGTAACCAGTGCAACGAATAAAGCGCAGGTGTGATGTGCTCTCTCTTTCGATTACGAGTAACTACTAGTTACTAGCCGTACTGCAGTGTTCTGGACCCTCTGCAGACGACTAGTTAGTTTGTCAAATATACCACAGAGCAGGGCGTTACCATAATCCAACCGAGATGTGAATGCACCAAAATCTTGCATGTATCTGCCATTAGAAACTGTCGAATACAGCCGATGTTTCTGATCTGGTAGTAACAGGATTTGGCAATAGCGTTCACTTGTTTCTCTATGTTCATAGAACTGTCAAAATATACCCCTAGAATTTTAACAGCTGGAACAGTCTCAATAGTTCTGGCACCAACCTTGAGCTGGAGAGCCAACAAACAAACAAGACTAGTTACATATGGCGCATGATCACAACTGGCCGTCCCAAGTGTGCAGCAGTCTGCGAAAGCTCTGGAAATTTTTTAATTTCCCCAGTTCATTCGGCAAATTGTTCCACACTTGGTCAGCCTCAAAACGAAAAGACTTTTTTCCATACCTTGTTGTGTTAACTCTTGGTACCTGAATGGTGTTCTCTTGCCTGAAATTATATTCAAGATTATTTTTAACAATCAAATTATTTAAAAAAATCTGGAGCTAACCCATTTAAAAATTTAAAGACTCTTGTAGCCATAGTCTTCATTCTAACAACGTGTAAAAATGTGAGATTGTTTCTGCGTAAAATATCTATCACAGGTGAGGTACAATCGTTTTCAATAAAACGCAGTGCTCTTTCCTGTATCTTTTCCATCTTTCGAGTGTTTCTGAGGCTACACAAATGCCAGGCTAGGGGGCAGTAATTAAAAATAGATGAAATAAAAGCTAATTGTTTGGAGGCCTTTCTATAGATCTTAGATACATGGTCATAAAATTCAATAAAGAGTCAATCTCCACACCTAGCAGAGTAACACTATTTTTACAATCAATTACCTGGTCTCCAATAGAAAAGGATTTAATGTTGTCACAGTTTTTTTCCCCTATACATATGGCCTGAAATTTGCTAGGATTTGCTTTCATACCATTTGCTGAAAACCAGTTTAGTAAAAATTTGCTTTCTTTTTCTAGAGTAAGTTTAAAGTTTGAAGAACAGTTGCTGATATATGAAAGGGTATTGCCATCAGCATAATTGTAAAAATCGCAGTCTTTTAGAAACGTAAAAATGTCATTAAGAAAAATGTTAAAAATCAGTGGGCCGACAATAGACCCCTGGGGAACTCCCTTCCTCAGCAGCTTCCAATCGCCGACATCGGGGCCAAGTCTAATCCGCTACTGTCTGCCACTGAGGTAGCTGCCGATGAAACTGACTGCAGTCTCATCCAGCCTATAGGCTCACAGCTTCTCCAGTAGTTGATTGTTTGGGATACAGTCAAAGGCCTTGGACAGATCCATGAGAATTGCTCCAATATACTGACGATCATCCATGCCCCGACGCCAATCCTCAAGTAGACGAAGCTGAGTAGACTGGCACCGAAACCCCTTCTGAAAGCTGCTAAATAAGGGTTAAAAACTATACTAAAAAAATCACTAAGTTGAGTATGTACAATTCTTTCAAATACTTTTGAAAGAGTGGGTAAAATGCTAACAGGCCTGTAATTTTCTTTATTCATGGGGTCATTCTTCTTAAAAATAGATAAAAGGTAAAAGCTGGCGTATGTATTAGCGTATGATGAGGGCTTCAATGGCTGCATAGGGTATGTATCCTCTAGTGTTGTGCATTGTACTGCTGCTATGGGAAGGATATCCTATTGTGTTATGGTGTGTGGAAAGAATTACTATTTGTAGGTGTCCTTTGTAGCAGATATGTGTTTGTATGCGTAAGGGTGTGCATGTCTGGTTCGAGGGTCTACGGGTGTGAATATATATGTTGGGTTTATAGCTACGATTTGGTGTACGATTTTGTAGAAAAAGGATCCTTCTTGTGTGACAGCGCCGTGTTTGTAGTCTTGACCATTGTAGTTTGTGGATCATGTCTATACTGAGCTGGTGTTGTGGCATCTGTTGTTGTGGATCATGTCTATACTGAGCTGGTGTTGTGGCATCTGTTGTTGTGGATCATGTCTATACTGAGCTGGTGTTGTGGCATCTGTTGTTGTGGATCATGTCTATACTGAGCTGGTGTTGTGGCATCTGTTGTTGTGGATCATGTCTATACTGAGCTGGTGTTGTGGCATCTGTTGTTGTGGATCATGTCTATACTGAGCTGGTGTTGTGGCATCTGTTGTTGTGGATCATGTCTATACTGAGCTGGTGTTGTGGCATCTGTTGTTGTGGATCATGTCTATACTGAGCTGGTGTTGTGGCATCTGTTGTTGTGGATCATGTCTATACTGAGCTGGTGTTGTGGCATCTGTTGTTGTGGATCATGTCTATACTGAGCTGGTGTTGTGGCATCTGTTGTTGTGGATCATGTCTATACTGAGCTGGTGTTGTGGCATCTGTTGTTGTGGATCATGTCTATACTGAGCTGGTGTTGTGGCATCTGTTGTTGTGGATCATGTCTATACTGAGCTGGTGTTGTGGCATCTGTTGTTGTGGATCATGTCTATACTGAGCTGGTGTTGTGGCATCTGTTGTTGTGGATCATGTCTATACTGAGCTGGTGTTGTGGCATCTGTTGTTGTGGATCATGTCTATACTGAGCTGGTGTTGTGGCATCTGTTGTTGACGTAGCGTGCTGCTCTTCGTTGTGTTTTTTTCTATTTGTTTAATTTTGGTTTGTGTTGTGTGGATCCAAAATGGAAGAGCAGTATTCAAGTTTTGGTCTGACTAGTGCTTTATATGCGTGTTCTTTTATATGTGGTGAGTTAATTTTTAAGTTGCATTTTAGAAAACCTAGGGACCTATTGACATTGGCTGTAATGTTGTTAATATGTTTGTCCCATCGTAGGTTATTTTGTAATGTTAAGTCTAAGTATTTGCTGTATTCTACTTGGTGTAACGTGTGGTTGTGGAGTTTGTAGTCATAGTGTATTTTGTTGCGTTTCGATGTAATGTTGAGTATGTTGCATTTGTCAGGGTGAAATTTCATTAGCCAGTCTGTCTCCCATTGTTCTGCTGCGTCAAGGTCATGTTGTAGTTTTAGTGTGTCTTGATGCTGTGGTCTGCAAAGAGTCTCAGTTTACTGTATTAATGTATTCGTGGAAGTCATTGATAAAGATGAGGAAGAGGAGGGGGCCAAAATAGGTTCATTGAAGGACCCCAGAGGTTACTTGTATTTTACCTGATTGTTTGCCCTCAAGTACTACTGTTTGGGTGCGGAATGAGAGAAAGTCTGTAATCCATGCATGTGTGTTCCCTGTTACCCCGTAATATTTGAGTTTGAACTGTAGTCGTTGTCAAAAGCTTTGGCAAAATCCATCATATGATGATGTCTGTCTGTTTGTTGATGTTGTTGTTTGATGCGAGATCGTGTATGAATGTGGTGAGCTGTGTTTCACAGGATCTGGATGATCTAAAG